GCAGAAGACAGAAACATCCAGGCAGCACTCTGGCTATAAGGCAAGGAGTGCACCTTAGATGCTAGTGAAGAATGGAAAGATTTCGGGCCTGGGTCACATTTGTATTTTAGATAGGCCTTTGGGGGCTGTTTCTGGGCAGTCCCTCAGTGTTGCAAGTGAGGCTAGAGACAGGTAGAAGCCACAGTCACAGTCCCTTTAAGATACATCAGTTAAGGGAGGTCAGATTTCATATCCTAGAAAGAGAAGTGGGGTGTTCCACATTTCTGACTTAGGCACAAGGTGGGTGGTGACCCCACTAACCAAAGGCAGAGAATACAGAAAGAAATATCCAGGCAGCATCCTGGCTGAAAGGCAAGGAGTGCATCCTTAGATGCTAGAGAAGAACTGAGAGATTTCAAGCAGGGGCCCCTGGGTCACATTTGCCTGGGTGGGAGGCGCTGAAGAGGATGGGGGAGAGGGCTGCTGGTGGAGAGTGTTGGGGAATAGACCGTAGCTTTGCCCGTGTTGGTTTGGAGCATCCACTGAGCATCTGGTTGGGGCTATTCAGTGAGGGAGCCAGAGTTCAATGGGAGGTCAGAGCTGGATAAATGAATGTGAAATCATCATCCATTGGTGGAAATCAGGGATACTGTTGAGAATGAGATTCCTTGGACAAAGGACGCAGAGAAGGCGAACACAGCACCGGGGCTGTTGTAGGAGGAATCGTGTCTGTGTGTGGTGGACCTCGGGGTCTCTAGGGCAGAGGAGGTTGTTGATAAGGGGAAGAGACCAGCCTGTGTAAATTCTCTTCTCAGCATTAACATCAGTTTTTCCAATTGCATCGCCCATGGGTTGGACCTGACAATCTCTGAAACACTCCTTTCCATGTTTAATGTACTCCCATTCCAAATCTCTTCCCGGCGCTGAAAGCCCAGCACATGTACTTTGGAGGAAACTCTTGGCTTTAAAAAAGGAGGACAGTCTGCCTGGGATTGAGAATGAAATGTCAATGCCTTATGGGGACACGTGCCAGGCACTTGCGAACCTCAACTTCCCGATAATGAGGGAAGGACATACGGAGTTTGAAGACACCCCATAGAATGACTAAACGACTCACCCAGAAACATATGTCATGATTTCCACCATAAGCTACGATATAGATGAGTCAAACAGAGTGAAATTTAGGATTTTTAAAGGTCCCCTACCCCATCCATGTCAGTGGTTTCTGTTTAACTCCAGGGAAGAGAAATGTGCCGAAATCAGTGGTGTCTGATTTCTCAGGACTAGGCTATCCAACACACCTGACTAGAAATAAATGCAATACCTGGCTGCCATAACTCAGTGGTTGAGAGTTGACCTATGAACCAGGAGGTCATAGTTCAATTCCTGGTCAGGGCATATGCCCGGGGTTTCAAGCTCCATTCCCAGTGGGGGGCCTACAGGAAGCAGCCGATCAATGATTCCCTCTCCCTTCCTCTCTGAAATCAATAAAAATATTTTTTAAAAAATAGCTGCAAGGACCACCCAGCAGGAGACTGGGGTACAAAAGGTGGCAGGGTCCTAGGTCACCAGATGCAAAGTGGTGGCCACAAGAGGACAGGCAGACTGGACAGAGCTTTATAAGGATGAGATGGGAGGGACCTGGGAGCCTCTGGGGAGTCTCACCACTGGAGCCATCGAGGAGGGCTGAGCCAAGCCAATCAGTGTCCCAGAGTGAGGACTATGGGGCAAGGCGCCAGAGAAGCGGGGGGGGGGGGGGGGGCGTTGGGGGCAGGACACAGGAGAGATAGAATCACACCAGGACTGAGAGGGGGAGTGGAGAATCCAGGACGGAGCAGGCAGAGACAGGACGAAGTCCCAGAGGTCAAGGACGAAGCCTGCTGAGCTCTCACCATGGAGTTGCTTCTATGCATGAATTCTCACAAACCACTGGGGTCCACCTGTCTTTGAGGAAGTCTGTGCGCGCCTGTGGACCCGCGTGGCTGTGACAGGCTCCTTGCTCCTGCCTTGTCTCTGCTACACGACACTCTTAGCCTCCCCAACAGCGGGGCTACTTCTCTGCATGTCGACATACACCACATGGCAGGCAGGATGGTGGATGATGGGCCCTTAGCTCTTTCCGTTCTCAATGATTAGTTTAAATAAGAGATGGTGGTGCCCTGATTTCACTGCTATGAAAACAGGGCTTGTGAAAATCGAGCATTGACTTGTGATGTTCAACGTTGTTTGTTGACACTCAAAGCAGACTCTTTAGTTTGGGGATAGTAACACCAGACCATGAATAATGGGGTTGTTAGCTGTCCTTCTACATCAAGCTGTGACACGTCACTCAGGTGCTGGCCAGGCAGCTGTGGTGAGCTCAGCACTGCGCTATGGCCGTGGGCAAAGATAGCTGCCTCCTTTGGCTTCTCAGACATTGTTGTTGATGCCACGGGGGCTGGGGCACAGCACCAGGAAGCTGAGCATCGAGGATGTACCGATTAGCTGGGACAGAATGCCTGGTTGTCCATAAAAGTGTCAGAGAAAGAAAAAGGACAGAATAAAATAGCAAGATCCCACTTTTTTATTGTCACTTTGGCAAAGAGTGGTGCCGGGAGCCGGTCCATCCTTGCTGTTTCAAGGGACCTGGCATATATGGCATACTGTTCTTAATATGTTTGCTCACCTTCTTGGCACTATGTGTTTTAACCAAGGTCACCTCTCTGAGAAAGGTTGTTTCCCCAGGTAGGGATTTTCCCCTGAAGTTAGGGAGGGAATAAAACCCCTTAACTAAGTGCCAGGCAGGTAATTAATCACTTTAACTATGAACAATCATGCTTAAGCTACATAATCTTTACTCCCTGGAATGGAGATAAGAAACACCCTAACCTTTGGAATAGAGATTGATAGGATTGGGATCAACTGGTATAAATACAGATGTAACAAGACAACAGGACTCAGAACCTACACACAGAACCTAGACACAGAACCTAGACACAGAACCTACACAGAACCTAGAGACAGAAGACCTTCGCTGGAGAGAACATGGCAAAAGATCCTGGACAGAAACTGGAGACAGAACCTAGAGACAGAACCTAGCGAGAGAACATGGCAAAAGATCCTGGACAGAAACTGGCCACAGAACCTAGAGACAGAACCTGGCTACAGAACCTGGATAGAACATGGCAAGAGAACCTGACTAGAACCTGGTGACTGAACCTGGCTGAAGATCCTGGACAGAACCTGGCTGGAGAACCTAGTGAGGGAACATGGCTACTGAACCTGGCTGGAGAACCTGGACAGAACCTGGCTGGAGAACCTAGCGAGGGAACATGGCTATAGAACCTGGCTGGAGAACCCAACCATGCTGATCAACTGAACGCTGTCTCCATGTCATTCCTTCTTCGCGGACTCCGTCTACACCTTTGGGGACCCCAGCAGAGTGGGAGTGGGGGGGACGTAGTAATGCCATTCTCAAGTGACAGGAATGTAAGGAAACAAACACTTCTATACATTATCAGACCTGAACTTTGTGGGGACAGTTGTCAAAATTCTTAATAGTCATACCTTTTGGCCAAGCCATACCTAGCCCTAAGATTTATTAGCCCTTAGAAGGCCAAGTGCACAAAAATTTGGGCTCAAGGATGCTTCCTCACAGCCTACTGTAAAACAGTGAAAAGCTATATGCAAATAAACTGGGACTTGGTTAAGGAAATTGTGGGATAACCCATGACAGATGCTTCGCAGTCATTCAAACAATGATGATGCATTCTAACATTATTGCCATAGAAAGATGGAGGATGGGGTGTTAAGTGAAAGAGCAACTTACAACATTGTATGCAGAGTATACATATTTATATTATAGAAATGGGATCATAGTGCCCTGACTGTAAATATTCACAGGTATTGAAATGAAAACAGAAATGTGTTCACCAAATTATAATAGTGGTTTCCTCTACAGGTGGTATTATGAGATGACTATAATTTATCATTTTTTCAATATTTTCTGTGTTTTTAAATAATGGGCATGCATTCGTTTCATAATCAGAAAAAGAATATGGCTTTAAAAAGTAAAATAAGCCCTAACCGGTTTGGCTCATGGATAGAGCATCGGCCTACGGACTGAAAGGTCCCAGGTTCGATTCCGGCCAAGGGCATGTACCTTGGTTGCGGGCACATCCCCAATAGGAGGTGTGCAAGAGGCAGCTCATCGATGTTTCTCTCTCATAGATGTTTCTAACTCTCTATCCCTCTCTCTTTCTCTCTGTGAAAAATCAATAAAATATATTTTTTAAAAAAAGTAAAATAATAGTGGCCAGAATTTCAGTTACGATCCATGTCAGGAACCCCAGGAAATGAAAGAAGCATGAAGGCAGTGAAGGGAGCTGTGTAGTAGCGATGACCATCATTCTTAATCTCGCCTACGTAACTTCTTCACTGGGACAGGTTCCATTTCTGCACGTATCCTTGGCCCTCACACTCAGTGGGCCGCCACCTCTATCCCAGTTGAAACAAAATGTTTTTAGCCCAAAATAGAGAAGGTTATAAACCCATCAAAAGTGACGACCTTTAAAAAAGATTTCAGGAAGTCAAAAAGGCAAGACAAAGAAAAATGTATAAAATCTATTTAGCTCTTAGGGAAAAAAGAAACCAAATGACTACAAAAATACCAGCTCCAAAAATACCAAAAAGCTTCCACAGGAGAAAATAGAGAGCAAAGGACTGGCATATGGATGTCAGAACTCCCGTGTCAGAGAGGTTCCGGAAGCCGGCCGTGCGTCACCAATTATATTTATCCAAGATCACTGCGACAGACGCGCACTTCCAACAGCAGGGCACGTTCTTTAATGGCCCCCAAATCTCTTCTCTGTGACCAACTGATCGTATAGCTATCGTGTGAGATTTTTTTCATTCCTTTCATCATTGGCGAGCACATTTTAACGTAGGAAAAGAAGGGAGAGAGAGAGCTGTAACAGACCCATTGTGTTCATGCATATCTGAAACGTGTTTCCTACATGGCTGTCTTTTCTTCTCCCCTCCAGGAAAAGCACAAAGAAGCACCTGCAGCAATGGCCAAGCTGACAGAATCCATGAGTGAGTAGTTTGGAATTTATTCTTGATTTCTGGTTTTGCATGGGAAACCGCAAACTCTCACACAAACCACATGCCTTTGTGATGATCTGACTTGCCTTTCACTGTTGCGGTAGCCAAGGTCTGTTTGACACAGGTCGCCTTGTGTCGATGGTACATGGTGCATGATTCAGAAACCCATCTTGCACGGGGTCAAGTTCTGCGCCGAAGTGGTGACTGAATGTATGAATCAAGACCCAGAGTTATTTCAACCTGACCTTGGGCAAGTTTGGACCAGGTCAGCTGAAGTTTTGTGGGCAGATATTGCATAGGCTGGAGACTCGAAAGAGAGGAAAGGATGTCTTATTTATGATCACTAAACCTTCCAGGTGTTGATCCGAAATTTCAAACAGAACTATTCAAAATGGAGTGCTTGAGGTGTAAGTGGCGTGGAACAGTTTGGCTTTGGTGTGGATCAGTGCTATAATGCTCTAAGCTCTAAAGCTACATAAATAGAATACATGTTTTTTAAGAAGAAAGAAGAATTAATTAAAATAAATCCTCCCACAAAACGAGAAATGCAAGTCTATATGTTGGAGTTTAAATATTAAAGACCATGTGGCACCCTAACCAGTGTGGCTCAGTGGGTAGAGTGTCCGCCTATGGACTGAAGGGTCACGGGTTCGATTCCAGTCAAGGGCATGTACCTTGGTTGCAGGCTCGATCCCTGGCCCCAGTCAGGCTGCGTGCGGGAGGCAACCAATAGATGTATCTCTCTCACATGGATGTGTCTTTCTATCTCTCCCTCTCCCTTCCACTCTCTCTAAAAATCAATGGAAAAATATCTTTGGGTGAGGATTAAGAACAAAAAAAGACCATGTGGCTATGAATAAGCAGACAATGCGGACGATTTTTGTTTGAAAATAAACACTGTCCCTGGTGCTAGATTTCATCTCTAAAGTTTCAAGGGAAGCTTGCAAACACTTCTCCATTCCCATTAGGGCCATGAACACTTTATTCAATTTGACCTGCAAAAGTCACTATTAATCTTGCCACATTTAACTGGGCACCTGCTTCCTCTTCTACCACTCCTCAATTCATAGAGCTATTAAAATACAAGTGTCCTTTTGTAGCTGGTCAATGAGCCCTTATCCCCAAAGGTCTGCCCCTCACCTAGAAAAGATAATGTTAAAAAGTTCTTTACACTGCATTTCTTTCATTCCTCACCCAGAACCCCTGGCCAGTTTCATCCGTCTTGACACACACTAATTCCAGCATTTACACAATGACTCAAAGGGATGGGTGAAGACCAACTGCCCACGATATTTACTGCCTCTCTTCCACTCTCTCTTCTGTATCACCCCCTGCCCTCTCTGCTCCACCCTTCTTTCTACATGAAACATGTGCAAAGGCTTTGCCACGAGGTTTAAAGACCCCCAGATGGGTTCTCTGGAGGGGAAAGGACCTTAAAGCTCTTCTCCTGCCTGACTGGAATGCGTAGTGAGGTTACCTGTACCACTGCAAAGCTGATGAGCCTGTGTCGTCAAAATACGGAGTAGGACCGCGGACAGCACCAACTAATTCACAGTGTCAGCACTTTAGCAGACTCAGTTCTAATCTCCAAGTCCAAGGACACCAACACAAAAGACTCGCAGAGCCTCTGAGAGCTAGAAAGATGGCTAGCTTGGAGCCCGGCGTCACTGTCAGTGAAGGGAGTTTTGAGTGTGTAAGGGGATTAAGCTAGTGTAGCACTGGAGTTGTAATGCTGGTTTCACAATGAGGCTCCTGGTAGAAATTCAGTGAATGTTACTTTTGACTCGCCTTACTGAGCTGTGGAGCACTGAAGGCACTCTAAGGGGCCTACTGGTTCTTCAATAATGGTATATTAATTTTTATACCTCTGTTGGATCCAAATGCATTTAAATGAGAGCTGCTCGTTGGACTTCTGGTTGGTTGGTTTTAGATTTCAGGTTTGCCTCTGCAATAACTGTAATGACTGATCTATAAATCCATTGGCTTAAGGGAATTCTGTCAAAACTGAATTCCAAACCCTTGGGTAGATGAAAGGGTACATTCATTCTTCTAAGTTGCTTTGTCTTTATGAAAAGATCACACAGGCCTGGCCGGTTTGGCTCAGTGGATAGAGTGTTGGCCCACACGTGGACTAAGGGTCCCAGGTTTGATTTAGGTCAAGGGCATGCGCCTCAGTTGCAGGCTCGATCACCAACACTGGTCGGAGCATGTGTGGGAGGCAACCAATTGATATGTCTCTCTCACATCGATGATGTCTCTCTCTCTGTTTCTCCCCCTACCTTCCAGGTCTCTAAAAATCAATGAAAATATATCCTCATGTGAGGATTAACAAAAAAAAAAGAAAAGAAAGAAAGAAAAATCACACAGACATGTTCAATACACAAGGAAATTCAAAATTTGAGACCAGACTTTGGAATTCTACTCACCATTCCAGTTCACCGATCCTTACAAAGATATAGAACATTATAAAGTGCATAAGACATGCTCTAACTCTTTTAGGCTCTCGTTATGAGAGTTCATCAGGCAATCAATACTGATAAATATTTCATCAAAGTTAAACTCATGAATAATGTTATATACAGCTCCACATTCATTATGCATAGGAAATCTATAAGGAAATAAATACATAATTATGTAGGGAGAACCAACCAGTTAATCAAAGGATTAACACACAAGTGCTACACACTAAATTTGATGGGAGCATAAAACCCAAGGCCACCAGAGGAAAGGGACATAAACAGAACCACAAATGCCTAGGACACGGTGCACAGAATGGCTTTCTCGAGCCAGGAAATGCTTTGCTTGTTCAACTGCAGAGCAAACGCCATCTGGTTCCTAGAACATCCATGTTTAACTAGAACTGGGGGGAAAGCCCGAGTCTTCCATCACCATAGGGGTCGACTGTTGCCGGTGGCTGGGCAAGGCCGGGAATGGCGTGGGTGACCTCTTCATCTTCTAGAACAGGAATGGGGAATGTTCCTTTCTCTCATGTGCCATTAATCAACTTCAGTCATTTTTTTAAAAGGCAAACAAGCCCAGCTGGCGTGACTCAGTGGTTGAGCATCAACCTATGAACCAGAAGGTCACGGTTTGATTCCTAGCCAGAGCACATGCCTGGGTTGCGGGCTCGATCCCCAGTGTGGGGCATGCAGGAGGCAGCCAATCAATGATTCTCTCTCATCATTGATGTTTCTATCTCTCTCTCTCTCCTTTCCTCTCTGAAATCAATAAAAGTATATTTTTTAAAAAATAAAAGGGCAAACAAGAGACATAGATATTAACAGGCTTTTAAATGTTTCATTGAAATCAAGTTTAATAAATACAGGGTAACACTTCAAAATATTTTTATGTTACATTGTTGACATGAAGAGGGGGCCTGATAAGGAAGAAAAAAACACAGAGAAAAAAGGAAAACAGATGTAGAGGGAGAAATAGAGAGACAGCAAAATTATACATGACAAAAACACACAGAAAAACATATATGTGAAAAGGACCCAGAGAGGAACTTCAAAGGAGGAAAGAGGCAACTCATAGGAGCCAAGAGAAGCCGGTGGCAAGGGAGGGAGGCAGGAGGGGTGTGACTGGGATGCCCAGTGGGTCCTCACTCACCTGTGCATCGTCCTCACTCGCCACAGCATTCGCTGTGGACTTCCACCTTCTTACCACTGCCCTTTGACACTTTAACCTCTGCTTGCATCTTGGAAATGGATAATTTCACACGTAGACTGTGAAATTATCCAAATAGTGCAGCCGAAACCCCCAGACTGGAGGAAATTGCTGTGAGCGTGCCGGCCCGTGACCAGCACTTTCTTACCCAGCGGCTGACCACAGTGAAGCGACAGCCTGATCTCGTAGAGACCCCCGCCCTGCCTCTAATAGGCAGACGGGGACCCTGCCGAGGACACCAGTCCTGCTCCGTGCTGTCATCAGCGGTAACGTGGAGCAGGCAGGTCTGTCCCGGGCCTGAGAGCTAAGTCAGGCGGTGAGGATTGGAGGTGTCCAGAGGTGTGCAAACAGCCTGGAATTGCGGTCCGAAGGGAACCTTGGTAGGCGGTTCTTGCATAAACTTTTGTAATAATTCACTGCATGGTCGTGGCCGGCTGATGTATCTCCCCCACACCCCGAGCTCCTGGGAACATGTCAGCTACAGCAAAGGAGGTCTCACCACATGGGTGCATTGGCAGTGTGGGTTACAGTCACATACCTGGTCTTGTGCGTGGCAGCAGGCGAGTGGGACAGGGAGGGAGGCTTGGCCACCATGCCTTCCCAGGCTGCAGGGCCCTCTGACCCCGTGTTCTGCTGCCCATCCTGGAGCCCCACTCCCACTCCTGTCTGCGTCATTCACGTGTCTGCAGTGTGGTGGCTGCCTGAGCTGCATGAATTTCCTGAGGCCCCCACGGGAGGATGGGGGTTCTTGGAAAGCTTTATTGATGATGAAAAATTCCGAGGGTCCCATCTCTGCCAGGGACAAAGTCCAGCCGTGTCCTCGGCGGGGCCTGAATGAAGGCCTCTGCCCGCCGTGTCTGCTCCCTGTGAGAGCACAGTCCAGCCCCGCGTCTGGCCGGCTCAGCCTGTGCTCCCAGCCGCAGTCCATTGCCTGTGGGGTCCTCGCGGCCATGGCCATGCGGCTGCTTAAGGCCACAGGGCTGTGGAGGGAGAACAGGTGAGCACGCAAGAGAGTGGGCGCTCGTGGGGATTTAACTTTGCAAGATTTCACGCGTTTCTGAGGGGGCCCACCTCCTGGCCCATCCAGTGTTCCCCAGCTAGACTGACAGGCCAGCACCTTCCCTACATCACCCCAACTTCACTGCGCGTGTGCCCTTCTCCCCCTTCTCCCCGCAGCAGTCCAGTACGGGGTGGGGGAGGGAGGAGCAATCCCCTTGGAGCAGCAACGTGTGTGTGAGCTTCCCAGGTGGCCACGCCCACAGTGACTGACTCCCCTCTGCTTCTTCCCTTTATTGATATTAATAACTAGCTAATTGCACCAATCA